TGGATACATGGTACATTTCCAGTTACTCTGGCAATTATTGATATCCCAAAACAATGTGTTGTTTGGGAATAACTCTGATTTTATTTTCGGTAGTACTGAGGTTTGAACTAAGGGCCTTGTACTTGCTAGGCAGGCGCTCTACCACCTGAACCATGTTCCCAGCCCTTTTTTGCCTTAGCTATTTTTTTAATAGAGTCTCACATCTGTGCCAGGCCAGCCTGGACCGTGATCCTCGTGTTTATATCTCCCGCACAACTTGGGTAAAGGTGCATGCCACCACATCCAACTTTTAGCTTTTTTTTTTTAATTGGTTATGATGTCTTGTGAACTTTTTGCCTTGACTGGCCTCAAACCATGATCTTCCAGATCCCTACCTCATGAACGGCTGGGATTATTGGCATGAGTCATTCTACCCAGCTCATAATTCCAAATTTTAATGATTTGTTTTGTTTTGTTTTGTTTTTTTGAGGCAGCATCTTGATAAATAGCTTAGGCCAGCTTTAAATTCATGATCCTCCTGCCTTAGCCTCTCCATCACTGGGATTACAGGATGCACCACCATGCTCAGCCTTAGTGATAGTGTAATAAAAATATTATCCATATCCATAGTGAGATAAATACACTAATTTACTCTAGGTCAGGTAGGAATCAAAGGCAGAGGAAAAAACAGAACATCTCTAGAATATCTCTAGATTTCTGTATTTCTGGTTGCTTTCATTCAAGTAATAGCTCTTGTAAGTGGCCTTGGCCTTAACAATTCTACAGGCTTACTTCAAATGACAAAACTTTACCACTCTCCACAGTACCTTCCCTCCTTTCAAACTAAGCTCTTGGATTTCTTGAGATTTGGTCTCTCATGTTTTGTTTTTTTCCTAAGTCAATGGCCTGTGGTTCTAAGGGGTCACTGGTGAATCTGTGGTACCAGAGGGTGTGGGCCAGAACTGCTCATTTGTACATGTTCACGGTCCCCAGCTTCTCAGCAACTCTCCCTGTGGTTGCATCGGTGGCACCAGGAGCGTTACAAAACAACCCTCTGTTGGTTTTCTTGAGACTGCCAAAGGCAATTTGTGAAGCTTTCACCTCATTTCCACCATTATTATTGTATCATTTGTGCTGTATTATTACAATGATACCATCGTTATTGTATCGTATTGTTATTACACCATGCAATTATTATTATTGTATTGTCTGGTATTATTTGGTACACATTCAATATTATTCCTGGAGGGCTCTTCTCTTTGTGTTCCATCTCAGAAAACTTAAGTTATATTTTTACACTGCTTTGGGGATTGTTTTTACAAATGTCACGTCCTGTTGGGCTTGAAGTGACTCTAGATGACATTGTTGGGTTTCTTCTCTCTTTTCCCATAGTATGTTTATCTGCTTTTAAAAGCTTTACCAGTCCCTTGTGTGCTGTTATTTTCATCTAAGAGGTAGTCTCTGAGAAAGCTATTTCCAAGAGAAACCCCTTCGGCAGGGGCTGGAGTTGGGGGAACAAGCTGGGGCAGACAGAGCTGGTGATGGCAGAAATAGATTGCCAGTCTCTAATTGGATGCCTAGTAGGAACCAGGCACTGGAGGACACTCAGATGAATAAGGTATGTATGGCTGGCATAAGGATGCTACAGAACACGGTTTTCCTGGGAACAGCAGTGCATCAACTGGATTTCTTGGTTGAATGCATAGTAAGGGACAGGTCAACCTAAGCCAAGGGGAATTGCTGGAAGTCTGTGGGGTCTCTTGACATTGCCCTGAAGGTTAAGGGAACCAGGTATAGAGCCCAGGCAAGTGCTAGCTTGAGAGAAGTCCAGAGAATGCCTCTTGGTCGGCACTCCCTGGTCAGGATGTTGTCCGACTGCCACACCTTTATAGAGGAGAGCGATGTCCCTACTCAGTATGTAAAAGTCAGGAAGGAGCCTGCAGTTGGCTAGGTCCACACCATGGGCTTGATGGTTGAGGGAGACAGTGGTTGCTGTACAGGAAAGGAGAGTGTCCTGGAGGAGGTCTCATGACTCTGTTAAGGGTCACCGCCAGCCTTAGGTGACCATGAGGGACAGAACTACTCTCCTCCTCCCTCTGGTCTCCTACCTGGACTTGCTGCTGGCCAAACCCACATGGAAACCAGAGGCAATGAGCCCTTTGATGTAGTCTGTGCAGACAGACTCTGGGACTAGGAGTTCTGAACACAGAACTTCTAGTTATGGGAGGTAGGAGTTAATCTTCACCTTCCTCCCCTCTCACATACACTCACCTTTCATGCATCCTCCAAACAGAGTTCTTGGTACCCTTGATTAAATCTGTATTTTGTAGTACTAAATTATTTTTCAGATAGAATCTCTGGTACTTTTTGCCTAGGGCCAGCCTTGGACTGTGATCCTGAGTAGCTGGGATTACAGATATTCATTACCATACCCAACTTTGTTGAGCTGTGGTTCTCACTAACTTTTTGCCCAGGCCTGGCCTCAAACCTCAGTCCTCCCCATCTCCACCTTGAGAATAGCTGGGATTATAGACATGATCCACCATGCTTGGTCTGATTAAATCTTTATTCAGTTTTTACAGTATTACAGTCATAGATCAAGTATATATTTGAATTACATTTTTTAGACAACTTTTTGTTCTTGGAGTTAATTATGTTATTTTTTTGTTTGCTTGGTTTTATTTTCCTATTCCCAGCACACCCTTAAACTTGGCCATCCATATAAATCTTTTGGTGCACTCACCATCACGCAGCCCATGGTTTGATTTAGCAGGGACTTCCCCCCTTCTGTTCCACTGTCATTCTGGGCTCTTCCTTCACTAGTGTCTGGGATGCTCTCTTTGCTTCTTTCCTATGGTGGATCCATCCTTTCTGGAGCCTATATTTTTCTTTCTGAGTTGACTTCACTTTTTTTTTGGTGGTACTGGGGTTTGAATTCAAGGTCTTGAGCTTGCTAGGTAGGTGCTCTCCTACTTGAGCCAAGTCATTTTTTTTAAAGATAGGGTCTCTCTATGTAGCACAGGCTCTTCTCAAACTCGAGATCCTCCTGCCTCAGTCTCCTAAGTGCTGGGATTACAGGCATGTGCTTATATATTAATAATTGTAATAGACTAACAGGTATAAGTTGGAAAGTATGGTCACCCTTCCCACTAGTCTCTTCTAAGTTCAACTTGTAGAACTTCCTCACCAACACTGACAATGCTCAGTTTATTGATTGTACTGTGAAAAAGAAATTTGTTTTGTTTGTTTTAAAACAAGGTCTCACTAGTAGCCCAGATTGACCTCAAACTTGTGAGATCCTCTTGCCTCAGCCTCCCAAATGCTGGTTTTACAGGCGTGTGCCACCACTCATGACTTGTAGTTTTCTTTTTCTGGCAGTACTAGGGCCAGACAAACTCAGGGTCTCAAGCTTGCTAGGCAGGTGCTACTATCTCTTGTGCCACTCTTCCAGCAGGGCTTGCATTTTTTTAATTTTATTTTTATTTACTTTTTACAATACTGGGACTTGAACTCAGGGCCTACACCTTGAGCCACTACACCAGCCCTTTTTTTGTGATGGGTATTTTTTTTCAAGATAGGGTCTCAAGAACTATTTGCCCAGGATGGCTTTGAGCCTCAATCCTCCTGATCTCTGCCTCCTGAGTAGCTAGGATTATAGGCATGAGCCACCAGTGCCTGGCCCTCTGGCTTGCATTTTTCATGGAGGTAGGAAGAAACACACAAACATTAGACATCTTCTCAGCTCTGATGTCTTTTCTGATCCCAGTCCAGCCAGGATTTACCACTCGGCCCAACTGAGCATGCCACAGAGAAGCAGCCATGTTCTTTCTCTATGCATCACAAAGGACGCGAGCAACAGGAATCCAGGTGCTCCAGGCTTTACGTGCAGACTGAGTGACTCAGACATAGTGTCAACTGTAATGACCTCCCTTTGTCTCCAAACTAGAACTTGGTATATCTCCTGTGCCCTCCCTAAAGATGCGATACTTGTCCATCTGTCTTGTTCTCTCTGATAAACTCAGCAGCAAATGCAGTATCTGCCACAAAGCAGGAACTTGATAAATATTGTGGTATAATTTTCTGAGCAAATATTCTCCAGTTGTCTGAAAGGTGACCAGAGCTCCTGCCCCACGCCAATATGCAAAGACACAAAGTCTCCCAGTTTGCTGTCATTAGATCTTTCATAGAAGAATCGAATCAGATCTTCCTGTGGTGGGTGGTCACCATCTTCCTTACCAGAAGTCTTATCTTTTGTCACCCCCAAACGATAAACATACTCAAAAACTCTGCATGACCCATCGTGAGTGGTTTTTTACACTAACCAAGGGAGTGGGGGAGACTCAATTTCTTGCTCAAGATGAGTAGGACCATCTTCCATTTGCTTACCATCATCCTCAGGATTTCTTTTATTTTGTGCTTATACCGAAGTCTTGCATTTATTCCCCCCCCTCCTTTTTTCCCTTGGTTAGACTGAGGTTTGAACTCAGGGCTTTGCATTTGCAAAACAGGCACTCTACAGTTTGAGCCCCACTTCTAGCCCTTTTTGCCCTGGTTATTTTGGAGATAAGGTCTTGCTTTTGCGTAGGTTGGCCTCAAATCATGATCCTCCCAACCTCAGCCTCCCAAATAGCTAGGATTACAGGCATGAGCCACCAGTGCCTGTCTTCCTCCTACCTTTTTGAAAAAGGACCTTGAATTTCCCTCCAGAAGCCTGATCCCATACACTAGTTTTCTTAGCTTTACTCAGATGCTTTGGGGCTTCAATTATGCATACAGTAACTTCTTTCTCACTTATTTTCCCCAGGTGTAATCTCCTGTTCCTGGTGAGTTCTTCCCAGCCCAGAGACTGCTCATACTACAACCTATCACAGCTAGGGGTTTGCTTGGAGGTTTATTGGTGGAAGTATGGAAGCACCTCATTATAAGCACCATCTTACCTCTCCCATGGTCACATGGCCCACCGTGCGAAACAGCACTATAGGAGGTATAGCAAATACACAGAAGTCAGTTTTGACTAGGTGTCAGGGTCCCAAGAAGTTCTCTCCTAGGGAACTGGCTACAGGAACCTGTGGGAAGTACTCATCTGGGTTCTCTTGTTCCCAGAGGCTGTGGCTCAAGGTGGCTCTCATGGGTACATTCAAACTGACTGGAGATGCCACCATCGAAGATGTCTTGCAATGGGTGGACTCAATTATTTCAGTGGCACTGTTGTCGTTTCTGTGGGAGCCAGGGAATTTCAAAGTCATTGGAAGCAATAGAAGAAAAAAGAAAACACTGTTAAAAATAGACTTTAAAACCCGTTTTCTCATTATGTTTTTCCTTTTTCCAGAGCCAATCTAAAGGCACTTGAAGTCTTACACAAGGTGGCCCCTTAAAGGAATGCCAGGTTTCATGGACCACTCTAGATCCAGGCCCTGAATGGACTGGTGACTATATGAAACGGACATGTCACAGTGTCACCTGAGTTGGGATTGAAAGGCCAGGAAGGAGGATCTCAAAGAACCCAAGAAAGCTTCTAAGAGAAAAGGTCAGCTTAAAGTATTAGAAAATTGAAAGAGTAGTGGCAACTCAGTTCCCCACTAGGAAAGGATGTCTTGATGGGGCCAGGGTGAGGGTAGCAAGCAGGTATGATAAGTTCAGAATTCTGATGATATTCAGGTACTAGACATTTTAACTTTAGAACTGATCCTGCTAGGGTTTGCGTTGTGGCTCAGAATGGCTCATGTGATAGAGTGCCTACCTAGAATTAATGCTGATTTGGCAATTTAAAGGGACTTGAAGACATATTCTAAAACGGAGCCTTGTGCTATGGGGACTTCCTAGAGAAGTAGCTTTTATCCTGGGGCAAGAGGAAAACTACTCCCACTGAAAAAAACAAAAGGAAGAAAAAAAATTGCATTTTGATGGTACCTTTACAAGTTGTACTAAGCACCTCGGTTGCACTCTCTTGCTTGGGGTTTCTGTTGATTGTTACAGAGAGAACTTAATTCACTTAGAAAATTAATAAACTTTGAATCTAGGAGTAGTCTCCCCTCTGGGTTTCTGTCTGTTCTGTCCATTTTACAGAACAGGTAGTTGAGGGAAGAAAGTAGGGTCTTACCCAAGGGACCCTTTTGAGCTGGAGTTGGAGGTAGTCAATGCTAATCCCATGAGTCGGATTTACTAGCTTGCATTTCTTAGAATTAACTCAAATCCTCTCATTGAAGACCTGCCATATGAAAACACTGGGGTTTGTCTAGGGGATGAATGTTCAGATTAAGAGACCCAAATATTGTGAACTCTGTTTTTAAGGACAGACTTACAACAAAGTTGAGGGACAAAGTCACGTACATGACTGTCTAGAATAAAAAGAAGAAATGGAGCTAGGTTGGTAGAGGATAGCATTGACCCTGTGACTCCTTGCTGGGGACAGGACCCACCTGTCTGCTGTGAGCGGGGACCTTCCTGAGAGTTCCAAGAAACCATCACTGGTCTGCTCAGCTACCAGCAGCAAGAGTGTCTCACTGGTCTGGGAGGATGACGGGAGGCTGCTTTCAGGCTGTGTGGAGAAATGTGAGTCAGAGCCAGGCTGCTTATGGAGCATCCATGGCCTTCTAGGGTATAGCCCTGAAGGAACTTGTGCGATTACGCTTGAGCTCTGCAGGCCAGCCTGGGAGTCTGCTCCTTGAACAGTAAGGCACAAAATCATTAGACCAATACTGGGAGTCCCTGGTAAGAACCTTCTCTCTCTTTCTTTCCTTTCTTTCTTTCTTTCTTTCTTTTCTTTCTTTCTTTCTTTCTTTCTTTCTTTCTTTCTTTCTTTCTTCTTTCTTTCTCTTTCTTTCTTTCTTTTTCTTCCTTTCTTTCTTTCTCTTCCTTCCTTCCTTCCTTTCTTCCTTCCTTCCTTCCTTCCTTCCTTCCTTCCTTCCTTCCTTCCTTCCTTCCTTCCTTCTCTTCTTCTTCTTCTTCTTCTTCTTCAGTGCTGAGGTTTGAACTTAGGGCTTTGCACTTGCTAGGCAGAGACTCTTACCCACTTGAGCCATATGTCCAACCCCACACCCTCTCTCTGATGGGCTGTGGAGGATACTCTGTCCGGAGCAGAAGATCTGGGCTGTGAAGCAGCTGGTTTCAAAGCTAGTGCTTTTACCCCTAAATCATACAACTGAATGAGAGCAGGAAAGTATTTAGGTTTGGGGCAATCCAATCTGATGCTTTCCTTCCTGTGCTTCTATCAAGCAGGACTGGGAAAGGCCTTCTGAGTGTCAAAAAATCACCTTAAGAGTTTGAGAATGAGCTCAGTGGGAGAGCACTTGCTTAGCATGTGTGAGACCCTGGGTTCCACCCTCAGCACTGTAGAAAAGAAAAAAGCTGAAGCTGGGCATGTGTGTACATGCCGATAACCCCAGCATTCACAAGGCCGAGACAGAAGGATTATGAGTTGGAGGCCTGTGTTACATAGCAAGGATCAATTTAGCCTGGGCTACATAGCAAGATTCTGTCTTAAAAAAAAAAAAAGCAAAATAAATCAAAGGGTAATGTAAAAAAATAAAGTATATAAATACATATGTAACAATTTTTTTTCTTTTTCTTTTATTATTCATATGTGCATACTAGGCTTGGTTCATTTCTCCCCCCTGCCCCCACCCCCTCCCTTACCACCCACTCCGCCCCCTCCCTCTCCCCCCCCCCAATACCCAGCAGAAACTATTTTGCCCTTATCTCTAATTTTGTTGTAGAGAGAGTACAAGCAATAATAGGAAGGAACAAGGGTTTTTGCTGGTTGAGATAAGGATAGCTATACAGGGCATTGACTCACATTGATTTCCTGTGCGTGGGTGTTACCTTCTAGGTTAATTCTTTTTGATCTAACCTTTTCTCTAGTTCCTGGTCCCCTTTTCCTATTGGCCTCAGTTGCTTTAAGGTATCTGCTTTAGTTTCTCTGCGTTAAGGGCAACAAATGCTAGCTAGTTTTTTAGGTGTCTTACCTATCCTCACCCTCCCCCTTGTGTGCTCTCGCTTTTATCATGTGCTCAAGTCCAATCCCCTTGTTGTGTTTGCCCTTGATCTAATGTCCACATATGAGGGAGAACATACGATTTTTGGTCTTTTGGCCAGGCTAACCTCACTCAGAATGATGTTCTCCAATTCCATCCATTTACCAGCGAATGATAACATTTCGTTCTTCTTCATGGCTGCATAAAATTCCATTGTGTATAGATACCACATTTTCTTAATCCATTCGTCAGTGTGGGGCATCTTGGCTGTTTCCATAACTTGGCTATTGTGAATAGTGCCGCAATAAACATGGATGTGCAGGTGCCTCTGGAGTAACAGTCTTTTGGGTATATCCCCAAGAGTGGTATTGCTGGATCAAATGGTAGATCGATGTCAGCTTTTTAAGTAGCCTCCAAATTTTTTTCCAGAGTGGTTGTACTAGTCTACATTCCCACCAACAGTGTAAGAGGGTTCCTTTTTCCCCGCATCCTCGCCAACACCTGTTGTTGGTGGTGTTGCTGATGATGGCTATTCTAACAGGGGTGAGGTGGAATCTTAGTGTGGTTTTAATTTGCATTTCCTTTATTGCTAGAGATGGTGAGCATTTTTTCATGTGTTTTCTGGCCATTTGAATTTCTTCTTTTGAGAAAGTTCTGTTTAGTTCACTTGCCCATTTCTTTATTGGTTCATTAGTTTTGGGAGAATTTAGTTTTTTAAGTTCCCTGTATATTCTGGTTATCAGTCCTTTGTCTGATGTATATTGGCAAATATTTTCTCCCACTCTGTGGGTGTTCTCTTCAGTTTAGAGACCATTTCTTTTGATGAACAGAAGCTTTTTAGTTTTATGAGGTCCCATTTATCTATGCTATCTCTTAGTTGCTGTGCTGCTGGGGTTTCATTGAGAAAGTTCTTACCTATACCTACTAACTCCAGAGTATTTCCTACTCTTTCTGTATCAACTTAAGAGTTTGGGGTCTGATATTAAGATCCTTGATCCATTTTGAGTTAATCTTGGTATAGGGTGATATACATGGATCTAGTTTCAGTTTTTTGCAGACTGCTAACCAGTTTTCCCAGCAGTTTTTGTTGAAGAGGCTGCTATTTCTCCATCGTATATTTTTAGCTCCTTTGTCAAAGATAAGTTGCTTATAGTTGTGTGGCTTCATATCTGGTCCTCTATTCTGTTCCACTGGTCTTCATGTCTGTTTTTGTGCCAGTACCATGCTGTTTTTATTGTTATTGCTTTGTAATATAGTTTGAAGTCAGGTATTGTGATACCTCCTGCATTGTTCTTTTGACTGAGTATTGCCTTGGCTATTCGTGGCCTCTTGTGTTTCCATATAAATTTCACAGTAGATTTTTCAATCTCTTTAATGAATGTCATTGGAATTTTGATGGGAATTGCATTAAACATGTAGATTACTTTGGGAGTATCGACATTTTTACTATGTTGATTCTACCAATCCATGAGCATGGGAGATCTCTCCACTTTCTATAGTCTTCCTCAATCTCTTTCTTCAGAAGTGTATAGTTTTCCTTGTAGAGGTCTTTCACATCTTTTGTTAGGTTTACACCTAGGTATTTGATTTTTTTTGAGGCTATTGTAAATGGAATTGTTTTCATACATTCTTTTTCCAGTTTGCTCATTGTTAGTGTATAGAAATGCTAATGATTTTTCTATGTTGATTTTATATCCTGCTACCTTGCTATAGCTATTGATGATGTCTAGAAGCTTCTGAGTAGAGTTTTTTGGGTCTTTAAGGTATAGGATCATGTCGTCTGCAAATAGGGATATTTTGACAGTTTCTTTACCTATTTGTATTCCTTTTATTCCTTCTTCTTGCCTAATTGCTCTGGCTAGGAATTCCAGTACTATGTTGAATAGGAGTGGAGATAGTGGGCATCCTTGTCTGGTTCCTGATTTTAGAGGGAATGGTTTTAATTTTTCTCCATTAAGTATAATGCTGGCTGTAGGTTTGTCATATATAGCTTTTATAATGTTGAGGAACTTTCCTTCTATTCCTAGTTTTCTTAGAGCTTTTATCATGAAATGATGTTGGATCTTATCAAAGGCTTTTTCTGCATCTATTGAGATGATCAAGTGGTTTTTGTCTTTGCTTCTGTTAATGTGGTTTATTACGTTTATTGATTTTCGTATGTTGAACCACCCCTGCATCCCTGGGATGAAGCCTACTTGGTCGTGGTGAATAATCTTTTTGATGTGTTGCTGAATTCGATTTGCCATTATTTTGTTGAGGATTTTTGCATCAATGTTCATTAAGGAGATTGGCCTATAGTTCTCCTTTTTGGAGGTGTCTTTGCCTGGTTTTGGGATAAGTGTAATACTGGCTTCATAAAATGTGTTTGGCAGTTTTCCTTCCCTTTCTATTTCATGGAACAGTTTAAGGAGGGTTGGTGTCAGTTCTTCTTTAAAGGTCTGATAGAATTCAGCAGAGAATCCATCAGGTCCTGAACTTTTCTTTTTGGGGAGACTCTTGATTGCTGCTTCAATTTCATTTTGTGTTATAGATCTATTCAGTTTATTAATTTCCTCTTGGTTCAGTTTTGGATGATCATATGTATCTAGAAATCTGTCCATTTCTTTAAGATTTTTGAATTTATTTGAATATAGGTTCTCAAAGTAGTCTCTGATGATTTCCTGGACTTCCATGATGTTTGTTGTTATTTCCCCTTTTGCATTCCTAATTCTACTAATTTGGGTTTTTTCTCTCCTCATTTTAGTCAGGTTTGCCAGGGGTCTATCGATCTTGTTTATTTTTTCAAAGAACCAACTTTTTGTTTCATTAATTCTTTGTATGGTTTTTTTTGGTTTCCATTTCGTTGATTTCAGCTCTTATTTTTATTATTTCTCTCCTTCTATTTGTTTTGGGATTTGCTTGTTCTTGTTTTTCTAGGAGTTTGAGATGTATCATTAGGTCATTTATTTGGGATCTTTCAATCTTTTTAATATATGCACTCATGGCTATAAACTTTCCTCTCAAGACTGCCTTAGCTGTTTCCCATAGGTTCCGGTAGGTTGTGTTTTCATTTTCATTGACTTCCAGGAACTTTTTAATTTCCTCTTTTATTGCATCGATGATCCACTCTTCATTAAGTAATGAGTTATTTAGTTTCCAGCTGTTTACATGTTTTTTGTCTTTACTTTTGTATGTAACAATTTTTAAACTCTGAAAATCAGATGCCACTTTTTAACTATGATATTAGAAAATTATTTTAAAAATTACACTATTCAATTGTGATAAAGGAACACTATATAAGGAAAAATGCCTGTGATATAATTCAAAGTGTAAAACAAAAAGCCCCAGTGTTTGGTAATATACACAGTTGGCCCTCAGTATCCGTGGGGATTGGTTCCAAGACCCCCTCCAACACCAAAACCCATGGATGTTCAAGTTCCTTACATAAAATAGCATAGTCTTTGCATAGAAACTGCACATATGCTTCTGCTTAAAATCATCCCTAAATTACAATGTAAATGCTATGTAAATAGTTGGCATACTGTATCGTGTAGGGAATAGATAACAAGAAAATAATCCAACAGGTTCAGTAAAGATGCAAATTTTTCTCTGAATTTTTTTTCAGTACTGGGGTTTGAACTCAGGGCTTATACCTGAGCCACTGCACCAGCCCTTTTTTGTAATGGGTTTTTTTTTTTTTTTTTGAGATAAGGTCTTGTGAACTGTTTACCTTGGCTGGCTTTGAACCTCTATCCTCCTGATCTCTGCCTTCTGAGTAGCTAGGATTACAAGCGTGAGCCACCAGTGTCCGGCTTTTTTCTGAATATTTTTGATCCAGGGTTGGTGGAATCAATGGATGAGAACCCCGCATATATGGAGGGCCAACTGTATATTTGTATATATGTGTATTTTATATATGTGTGAATCTGTATGTACATATACACACAATGTCTATGTTTCTCTGCAGACCCTAAAGGGAGGCCCCCACTTACTGTTGTTTCCGTGGAGGAGCTGGGCATCTTGGGCACCAGGCAGTGAGTAAACTGAATTCTTGGGTCTTTGGTGGTGATGGATAGACCTTTCTGCAGAATTTTCACCAGGCGGATCCAGAATTGAAACACGGCCTCTGGATGTTTTTCGTGGAGCCTCAGGTAGTAGATCTTTTCAGTCACTGTGCGAACCCGCAGGATGCGCTGGATCCGGTCATAGATTTGTAGCTCCACATATTTCAGGGGGAGAATCCTAGACATAACCAAGAAGTTTCTACGTTGGTGCCTCCCGCTGGCAGGATGCAGAAGTTAGAAAGCACCTGTTTTGACAGTGGGAATGGCTGAGACTGACTCCTCTCTGGTTTCTAGGACTTTCATTGTTAGACTGCCCACATCAATAACAACCACACTATTGATGTCTAAGAGCTCATTTAATTCTCACAACCACCCTTTGGTGGAGGAAAGGTAAGTAAGTATTACTAGATCTATTTTATAGATTTTGAAATGGAGGCTCAGAAGAGCTCAGTGGTTTGGCCAAGTTTAAGTTTAGTGGGAATTGCAATGAAGTTTTCCTGTCTCCATTTCTAGGTCTTCTCCCTGTATCTTCATTAGTTGTGTTGAAAAGAGAAGGATAAGCCTGGCACCAGTGCCTTCACTTTCCCTCCTTACAGCTGTCTCCAGGGCTGGGAGGGCCTGACAGCTCACAATGGCAGGATGACATCAAAGAATGTGAAGGGTAACAACAGGAAAGGAAAAAAAGAAGAGGACAGGAAGGATAGAGGATATGTGTACCTCTTTCTACTGGCTCCAAACTAGCAGTTATAATAGCCTATTCCACTTCTCAAACATTCAATCTTTTCCCAAGTGGAGGGAAAATGACATCCTAAGATGGGTGTAGTAGCACTCACAGACCAGAATTATTCATGAATATACACAAAATTCCTCATCAATAGCACATAGATATATTATGTTCACGGACTAGAAGATTCAGGAGTAAGATGTCAGTCAATTTTCTTCTAAATTGATCCTAGCTACTCAGGAGGCAGAGATCAGGAGGATCGAGGTTCAAAGCCAAATAGTTCACAAGACCCTATCTTGGAAAGATCCAACACAAGCAAGAGCTGGCAGAGTAGCTCAAGTAGTAAGCGCTTGCCTAGTGTGAGGCCCTAGTTCAAACTAGTATGGGGTGGGGGGAGACAGATCTGTTTCCTATACATCCAGTACTTTTTTTTTCAATCTCAGCGTCTCGTAGTTCTATTTGGTTTTCATATTTCTGTCTTTTCTTTGCAAACTCCTTACATTTATATTCACAAAATGAAAGGAAGCCAACTTCCTAAAAAACTGGGCTTGAGACAGGAACTATGAATGGTTCCCTCCCCAGCATGAAATATGGTGCTTAGTATGTACAGACACTAAATAGATATTTGTTAAACAAATGGGTTGAATGATGTTTTAAAGAACATTGTCCTTTCTTCTGATCTAAAATCCAGCAGTAGAATAACACATATACCACTCAATTGTCCTGCCCCCTGGCCCCTCCCTCCAGCCTTTCTTTACCTGCTGAGGGTGATGACAGGGGCAACACCAGGTGTGCTCCAGGTGGGACTCTGGGGCCAAGTGACATTGGCCATCAGGAGGACATTGGGGAGTGGCAAGGAGGGCACTGAAGAGGTCACTCCAAGAATCACGTTGGTAGATCCTTCATAGACATCCATCCAGTCCCCAGGTTTAGTGACCTGGAAATCAACCCCAGGTGCATGGGTCAGAAAGGAGCAGAAAAGGTTGGTGAAATGGCTCAAGTAGTACAGCACCTGCCTAGCAAACGTGAGGCCCTGAGTTCAAACCCCAGTGCTGCAAAAAAAAAAAAAAAGAAAGAAAGAAAGGAAAAGAAAAAAGAAAGGAGCAGAAGACACAGGAAGGAAGGATAGATACAGATGCTGGAAAGGGGCACTTCAACTTGGTGACAGGTGTGGCACCCTGATCAGGGCCATGACCAACTATTAGTCACTTTTGTTGGTTTCCTCAAATAAATTAAATTCACAGCAATAAGAACCCTGTATGGCTAGGCATGATGTGTGGTACAATCCCAGATACTCCAGAGGTGGAAGGTGGGAGGACTGTGGTCCAAGGCTGGCCTGGGAATATCTCAAGACCTTATCTGAAATACAAACAAAAAAGCAAAAGGACTGGGGGTGTGGCTCAAGTGATAGAGAGCTTATCTAGTAAGGATGAGTTCTTAAATTCAAACCCTAGTACCGTATAAAAAAAATTTTTTAAAAACCCTGTGTGACACTTCTCTGTAACCTTTACATTATGTTTTTTTTTTTTAATGTACTAGTAAGCAAAAACTGAGCAGCACTGAAATTTTTTGCTCTTTCTTCCTTGGGTAGGAGAAGCTGGCACTGACTTCTAATGGCTTGGAAAGGAGACCACACAAAGATACTCCCTAAAGGGGAGGAGAGTGTGGGAATAGGTGTTGAGTGGAGAAGACCCAGGTCCTCAAGCTGAGGGAGCTTGGGGTTTCCCTCAGGATGAGGAAGGGTCAGCTTGTTCCTTGAGGAATAAGCCTGGGGATAAGCTGGTCCCTTCTCTCTGACATAGAGCTTGCTTGGGACAATTACTTTATACCTGATAAACCCAAGTCAGAAGCTTCTTGGCCCAGGATACTAAGAGTCTTTGCCTCTCCTGTCTTGAACACCTAAGCATTTTTGATATGCTTGCTTGCTGACTAACTGGTTCCACCACATGGGGTCAAGGCAGACCACTTGTGGGAGGCAGGCAGCACCTGGATGAGATCTGGTCCATATTCAGACAAGCACTCCCCACTCTAGCGGCTCCACACTTCTCTAGGCTACAGATGTTGACTTCCATTGGTCATAGCGCCACTCTCTGGGGAGAGCAGCCCAAAGACAGTGCCTGTGAACCTGCTGGAGACTGAGCTCTGATCTCTGCTTTATGAAGTTTGAATCTAGTGCCTTAAGGTTTGTGCTCTAGAAGAGCGCACCCTCATGCTGATGACACAAACTGAAGTGAACTTGGGACCCAGACCTGTGGTTTGCTCTTGCTTTGGTGACTTCTTTCTCCTCCCAAAGCTTTGTTAGTCTTCTAACCCCTGGGACCAGATTCTGGAAAGGGCAGGACAGCTGGCCCTAAGACGTACAGAGATACCTGGATAAAGTTGCTTTCAAACACCACTGAGTTGGAGAACAAGTTGAATTCCGGAGAACGAATCAGTTGACAAAGAAGGCCATCTTCCACCCCAAGTTCCACTCCAGGGCCTGATTCCCTGACCACAGGAGGGAGGCCCCTAATTTTACTCATTGGTTCTTGGGAAGAATGGGCTGGGAAACATTTCTGGGGCCTCACACGGATCCAGCCCAAGTCCAAGGTGTTGGTGGGACCACTGCTCCCCCCACCTCCACAGCTCCACTTTCCCTCCTTACTTACAGCTGTCCACCAGGACTGGGAGGGCCTGTCAGCTCACAATGGCAGGATGACATCAAGGAATATGAAGAGTAACAACAGGAAAGGGAAAAAAGAAGAAGACAGAAAGGATAGAGGATGTGTGGGACTCTTGTGTACCTCTTTCTACTGGCTCCAAACCAGCTGTTATAATATCCTATTTCACTTTTCAAACATTCAGTCTTATCCCAAGTGGGGGGAAAATGACACCCACAATTATAGCTGGGTGTAATGGTGTTCACAGATCAGCATGATTCATGAGTAAACACAAAATTCCTCATCAATAACAAACAGATATATTATGTTCATGGAAGATCCAGAAGTAAGATGTCAATTCTCTCCTAAATTGATTGACACATTTAACAAAATCCCAATCAAAATTCCAGATGGCTTTTTAAAATGGAAATTGGAAAAGATAGGCTGTAGTTATTTTTAAAATAAAAATTTTAAGAGGCAACACATTCACAAGGTCCAAACATCAGAAAGTATCAAAAGAGAGACAGTGAAGAGTCTCCTTCCTACCCCTGCCTTTGGTTCAGTTCCCACTGGTACCAGAAAACTGGTCCCTTAGCCTTGAGGCCAGTTCACAATTTACAAATAATGAGAGCAGGGTTTTGAGGAAAAGGAAATAAGGTTTAATACTTGTCAGATGAAGGGGAGGACAGGGATAGTCACCCTCTCAAAGCACTGTCGTCCACTTCTGAGGGACAATGTCCGCCTAGGGGCTTAGCTTGACTGTGACCAGATGCATGTCACCATGCCCACTGGCCTTGACTTTCCAGGTATCCAATGCCACTTATCTGAAGCTGTATGTCTTGGCTGCCAGGTTTACTGCTTAGGTGGTCAGTAAGAGATAAGAAGTAGCTGCCTGGTCTGATTGGAGAGCAAAATGAGTTAATCTTCCTTACTGAATTCTCTAGCAATTAGATGAAGAGGGAAAGAAAATAAGTTTACTTAACAGTAAACTGGCCAGCAGGCAAGCTGGCTATACAAAAAGTGTTTTGTGTGTGTGTTCCCTGTTACACCACTACACTTCCCCAAACAAAGCTACTGGTGTTTTTGTTTCTTGAGACAGTCTTGCTATGTAGCCCAGGCTGGCCTTGAACTTATGATCCTCCTACCTCAGCCTTTGAGTGCTGGAATTACAAATATGCAAATATTTATAATTATAAACAGACAAATATGACTTGTTTATCTTTTTAGAACTGCTAAACCAATTTACATTTCCATCAACAATGTTTGAAACTTTATGCTTCTCATAGATCTAACATTTCTGTGTGTTATCAAACTTTTGAACTTTTGCCAGGCTGAAGGGTTTTTTAAAAAAAAAAATGACATCACAAGTTGGGAGTATGGCTCAAGTGGTAAAGTACCTGCCTAGTAAGTACAAGGCCCTGAGTTCAAAACCCAGAACCAACACCGGAAAAAAAATGTATGTTTTGTTGAGCTTTTCCAGGTGACTCTGTTGTAAAGTGACACTGTGTTGTCATTATAACACTAATCTAATGGTTCTGTTTTTGTTTTTTTTATTTAATTATATAACACTAATCTAATGGTTCTGTTTTTGTTTTTTTTATTTAATTAATTTATTTATTGAGCATGAAAGTATGGAATTTATTAAAGCATGCGAGAAGAAAAGAAACAGAGTCCTCTCACAGGGAAGGGGGTTCCCTACAGAAGTTTGCTAGATGGTGCTGACTTTTGTGGAATTATTCAAGTAGTGGGAATAACTGTTCAAAATGTTCTGGATTAGACAAACCCATGGCAAATAACTACTTACAGGAAAGAAAGACACTAAACTTGATTTAAATGTGCGTATGTAAATTGGGAAGGTACAGGACATGCATTTTACTGGACAGTGATTTTTCTCTCATGGCACATTTTTTTTGTCACCTTGTGCTAGTAGTGGAAAAACATCATGTCCCCAGCTTGCAGTGACCTTAACTTTTTTATTTAATTTTTTTTATTTGTGGGGGGCTGAAGTTTAAACTCAAGGCTTTACACTTGCAAAGCAGGCACTCTACTGCTTGAGCCACACCTCCAGCTGTTTTGTTCTGGTTATTCTGGAGATGGGGTCTCAGGAACTATTTGCTCAGCTAGTCTCAAACTGTGATCCTTCCAATCTCAGCCTCCCAAGTAGCTAGGATCACAAGTGTGAGCCATCAGCTGTATTTAAAAAGCTTTTTACCCCTCTGGGTCTCTCATAGTGTCCCATGCCACAGCAAACTGTAGCTCTGAACCATTGCCTCACCTCTGCCTGTGGCTGCTGGCACTGGAGTGAGTTGCATGGTGGAAAAAGAAAAAAAAAACTTTTTAAATTATCATATTATTGTTGTATAGGGGATACATTGTGAGATTTCCAAAAGTTCTTACAATACGTCATAGTTGAATTCACCCTCTCCATCATTCTCCTTCAACCCCCTCCCCTATTCCTGGAATAATTTCAACACGTCTCATTTTTCCATTTTCATACACGAGTACTTAATATTTCCACCATAATCACCCTCCTACACCCTTTCCTTATATCCTCTCCTCCTCCTGGTACCAACCCCCCAGACAGGACCTCTTTTATCTTCCTGTTCTGTTTTTGAGAAAAAAGACATTTTTCTTTGTTTAAGATAGGTATACAGGAGTTTCCTTGTAACATTTCCATGTGTATATGTTTTATAGCCCAAATTGGTTCATCACCTCTATTTTTCTCCTTTCTACCTTAGTCCCCTTCTTTTATGGTGATTTTGACAGGTTTAAAAATGTTATATTCATTCTTAAAACCCAACTTATTTATTTATTTATTTATTTTTCTTATATTATTCATATGTGCATACTAGGCTTGGTTCATTTCTCCCCCCTGCCCCCACCCCCTCCCTTACCACCCACTCCGCCCCCTCCCTCTCCCCCCCCCAATACCCAGCAGAAACTATTTTGCCCTTATTTCTAATTTTGTTGTAGAGAGAGTATAAGCAATAATAGGAAGGGACAAGGGTTTTTGATGGTTGAGATAAGGATAGCTATACAGGGCATTGACTCACATTGATTTCCTGTGCGTGTGTGTTACCTTCTAGGTTAATTCTTTTTGATCTAACCTTTTCTCTAGTTCCTGGTCCCCTTTTCCTATTGGCCTCAGTTGCTTTTAAGGTATCTGCTTTAGTTTCTCTGCGTTAAGGGCAACAAATGCTAGCTAATTTTTTAGGTGTCTTACCTATCCTCACCCCTCCCTTGTGTGCTCTTGTTTTTATCATGTGCTCATAGTCCAATCCCCTTGTTGTGTTTGCCCTTGATCTAATGTCCACATATGAGGGAGAACATACGATTTTTGGTCTTTTGGGCCAGGCTAACCTCACTCAGAATGATGTTCTCCAATTCCATCCATTTACCAGCGAATGATAACATTTCGTTCTTCTTCATGGCTGCATAAAATTCCATTGTGTTTAGATACCACATTTTCTTAATCCATTCGTCAGTGTGGGGCATCTTGGCTGTTTCCATAACTTGGCTATTGTGAATAGTGCCGCAATAAACATGGATGTGCAGGTGCCTCTGGAGTAACAGTCTTTTGGGTATATCCCCAAGAGTGGTATTGCTGGATCAAATGGTAGATCGATGTCCAGCTTTTTAAGTAGCCTCCAAATTTTTTTCCAGAGTGGTTGTACTAGTCTACATTCCCACCAACAGTGTAAGAGGGTTCCTTTTTCCCCGCATCCTCGCCAACACCTGTTGTTGGTGGTGTTGCTGATGATGGCTATTCTAACAGGGGTGAGGTGGAATCTTAGTGGTTTTAATTTGCATTTCCTTTATTGCTAGAGATGGTGAGCATTTTTTCATGTGTTTTTGGCCATTTGAATTTCTTCTTTTGAGAAAGTTCTGTTTAGTTCACGTGCCCATTTCTTTATTGGTTCATTAGTTTTGGGAGAATTTAGTTTTTTAAGTTCCCTGTATATTCTGGTTATCAGTCCTTTGTCTGATGTATAATTGGCAAATATTTTCTCCCACTCTGTGGGTGTTCTCTTCAGTTTAGAGACCATTTCTTTTGATGAACAGAAGCTTTTTAGTTTTATGAGGTCCCCTTTATCTATGCTATCTCTTAGTTGCTGTGCTGCTGGGGTTTCATTGAGAAAGTTCTTACCTATACCTACTAACTCCAGAGTATTTCCTACTCTTTCTTGTATCAACTTAAGAGTTTGGGGTCTGATATGAAGATCCTTGATCCATTTTGAGTTAATCTTGGTATAGGGTGATATACATGGATCTAGTTTCAGTTTTTTGCAGACTGCTAACCAGTTTTCCTAGCAGTTTTTGTTGAAGAGGCTGCTATTTCTCCATCGTATATTTTTAGCTCCTTTGTCAAAGACAAGTTGGTTATAGTTGTGTGGCTTCATATCTGGGTCCTCTATTCTGTTCCACTGGGCTTCATGTCTAAACCCAGCTTTTTAGTGTGACCTGAGAGTTGGCAGTGTTACTTTCTTGGTATGTGTCTGTGGGAGTCCTTGAGGGGCAGGAGCTGAATGGGACCCAGGAGAGCAGCTCTGGGTGGGTCCTCCCGCAGTGGCAGGACCTGCCTCACATGGTGGGGCCAGTATGGCTAGTCATCCTAACACATCAGTCTGGTGGCCACAGCAGGTGTCCCTACCCAACTCTGGGTAGATGTGTGTTTCTGTGAATGAACAGGAAGGCTATGTTTGTGGACTGTCAGTGGTCATCAGTGACTGCAGAAGGCATCAGGTTTTTTTTTTTTTTCTTTTACGTTACTGGGGTTTGAACTCAGGGCTTCACGCTTGCTAAGCAGGTGCTCTGCCACTTATGCCATTTCACTAGTCCTTTTTTGTGTTAGGTATTTTTGAGATAGGTTCTTGTGAACTATTTGCCCAGGCTGGCCTCAAACTGCAAACCTCCAGATCTCTGCCTCCTATGTAGCTAGGATTATAGGTGTGAGCCACTGGTGCCCGGCTGGAGACAGGTTTAGC